GCGCCACTCGGTTGACCCCAGCCGGATTCTGAATTCCCGATACGCGTATCGGGATAAAAATTGGAGTCATCGTAAGCTGCAACCCAATCTCCCATGGAAACACAAGGCAAGACTCGTTATCTCTGGACATAAAGATCCGGATATAGGCCAGCTAGAAACGGACGCACCTACCATCAACCGCCTTTCTGTCTTGACGTTGCTCCAGATAGTGGCGAGCAGGCGGAAGACGGCTGGCTGGGTGGCCTCCGCTGGTGATATTACGGCCGCCTTTTTAAATGGGGATAGGTTGGAGCGCGAGATCTACCTCAAACAACCTAGGACTGGCCTCGGTGATTTGGACCCTCGTCAACTTCTCCGGGTCACCAAAGGAATTTTTGGGTTGCCTGATTCACCAAGGAGTTGGTGGAAACGCCTCCGCAAAGAGATGCTCCAGCTTCGGATCCATCTTGATGATCAGGACTTCTGTTTCGCTCAGAATCCCCTTGACCCCTGCTTGTTTCAGCTGGTCTCAGTCGAGAATCCCAACAGTGCACCTATTGCCTATGTAGGCGTACATGTTGACGACCTACTCGTAGCAGGCTCAAAGCACGTTTCCGCAGTGGTGAGGGAGACTTTGTCGGCTACTTTTCCTGTAGATGGTTGGGAGACTGACAGCTTCGATTACATAGGTAGTCATGTTGAGATCTCCGATGAGGGGGTGAGGATCGATCAAGAAGCTTATGCTGCAAGTAGGCTTTTTCAAGTTGAGGTTAGTAAAGATCAGAATGATGACGAACCTGCTACTGAAGAGCAACGGATAGACAACCAGTCCCTGGTTGGCGCGCTGTCTTGGTTGGGAAGCCAGTCCCGGCCAGACCTTCAGTGCTCCGTGTCTTTGGCGCAACAACTGCAGAAAGATCCGACCGTTGCCGATCTGAAGTTCAGTAACCAGACGGCGAAGCGAGCCTGGCAACACCGCGACAAGGGGATCTGGCTTCGACCTCTGGATCTCAACAGTCTGGAGTTCATGATCTTTCACGACTCAGCCTGGGCCAACGCCGAACTTACGGGGGAAGACGGCGTCAGACTGACATACGAAGACCACCTTGCGGGCACCATGACTGGAAGTCCGTATGACGTCAAGGCACGCAAAGCGAAACGTGCCAACTCCAAGGTTGCTAGTCAGTATGGCATTCTTGTCTACCTCACGGACAGCCATAACTATGCCAAGGGGGGCGGCGTCGGAAGTGTTCTCGACTGGAAGTCTACGGCCAACCCTCGTGTATGTCGCTCCACTTTTGGGGCCGAGACAACGGCCTGCTCTGAGGCAGTTGAGTTGGGGCAGTACGTCCGGTCTTTTGTGCAGACAATCCTGAAAGGGCAGCTTCAAAGAGTAGAGAGTTTGTGTGGGCACCAGCTTCGGTGTATCACAGACTGTAAGTCGCTTTACGACCACCTTCATAAAGAAGGAGTGCCGAGGATCCCATCTGACAAGCGTCTTGCTATAGACTTGGCGGCCTTGCGCCAGAATTTCCGAGAAGAGCAGCAGAATGAGAAAGCCCCACTTTACTGGGTGCCGACTGGGTACCAACTTGCTGACATTCTCACCAAGCCCAAATGTGCTGATGACTGGTGGGCTGCTGTGTGGGGTAATGTTCGCCTTCCTTTCGCTAAGTCTTAGCTCTGCTGCTACTTCAAGTATGGGATCCTATGTCTCTGTCCACCTTCCCGGAAGAGGGTGCGAAGTCACTCGTGAGGGAAGAAGTTTTGGAAGCAGTGTTAAACCGAAGCTTCCCCTGTCGCTGCCCAGGACGTGCATCTACCGAAGGCTTTTGGCTGCGAAGCAAAAGGAGTCGTATGCTCCCTCCAGGTTGGGCCCTCGGTGGTAGGGTTAGGTGGTTTGTGGGTTTGTTGTTTCTCATTTAGGGATAGGACTGTTTAGGAATAGGATTTGCCACTGTCTTGGGGGGCTATACTTTACAACAGCCACATAGCTCATCTCGCCACATGCGGATCATGAAGCACTGGAAACAGCCATGTGGCCAGATTCCTCGGCATCACATGGCGTGTTGCTGTCCAAATTGCGGCCCTTTTCGGGTGCCCCAAGCACTCACTAGCAGGCATGCGATAAGGGGGACCCCCCCAACAAAAGCAACATTTAGACAACCCGAAATCGGCCGGCTCACTTTTTTATCCGCTCCCTGAGTAGCAGCAAGTCTGGGAATTGGAAATCAGGGGTAGGGATTGCGGCTTAGAAGATTTGGGAATTTCACAAAACGGGGGTCAATGGAAACCCCAAAGGATACATGCGGATTTCTAGTAGATATTGGGGGGTTCCAAGCACGGATTGTAGAGGGATTAATTGTTTCCAGAAATCAGTCCCACAGGCAGGAAATGGGGCTCTAGGCAGCTGCTCGCAGTGCAAACTTGTGTGCACACTATCCAGCGGGTCTCCCTTTTGGAAACGCACTGCTGAATTCAGAAACCTGTGCGCTGCCAAACTGCGGCAAGCGACTTCCATGCAACGAAACACCTACGCCTACAGTCGAAAGGCTTCCACCATATGAGGAATGGTGGTTTCTGGAGGTTGAACAATGTCCTTCCAACAAGCTACTATGCCCAAAAGGAGGATAACATCTTGCCCTATATTGGGCACTAAAGTAGCCCGTCACGAAATAATGCCAATGAAAATCCCCCACTGCCACCAAGCAAATGACCCCGCGCAGTCTTCTGGCAAGCATAATGTAGCCCAAATGAATAGAATGGTGTGGGGAAATTTCTATTATAGGCCCACAGGAATAGAAGACCCTTAAGGCAAAAATCTTGGCGATTTGTCAAGCCTCCGTATTACGGCCTGCAACTTGGAGTCAGCCATTCACATCCAACACCCTGACTACCACTGCCAGTAGTTCTAGTACTGTTGCTACTACTGTTGCTAGTACCGTTATTACTGACGAATCCACGAATAACGATAGTTATGGTATTCTTGCTGCTGTAGCTCTTATTGATACTACTAACTCCCAAGCAATCAGTGCAAACCTGAAGCTCTACGCGGAGCCCAAACTTGTCGTCTCAGCGGTTAGGGTTTAGGGTACATGGTCCGAGGCGTAGGTTTTAGGGGACCAAAGACCAGCATCAATTAGATGCTCAAGACAAACCCAATAGTGCTCAACCAGCAATCCTGACTTACATCTCCTGCTTGTCGCCTTTTGAGCACCAAGAAAAACCATGCGCCAGGTCCAAATATGAGGAACCAAGCAGTACCCTAAGAGGAATCCCAAACCCTAAGCCCCGTAGTAACCCTAGATCAAGAACTAAGCCGCAAACCCTAACCCTAAACCCCATAGCAAGCCCAAACCAAGAACCAAGCAGTAAGCCTTTCTTGAGGGGCTATCCAAGGAGTTCCACATCAGCAAGGATCGGGTAGTGATCGGAGCCACCTGTCAGACTTTATAGTCTCACTGATCAGTCACCTAGTCCTAATCCACTTCTGTAGAAGACCACAATTTTCCTGGAACCTTACAGGTGTGATTTTGAGGTCTATTTGAGATGCCAAATGTATACCGCAGTGAGAATTTGTGATTTGAGGCACTGTGTTGGTTTTCAGAGTAGGAGGAAACCCTTAACCCAAAGTTCCTATAGTGTTTCCATGCTCTTTTCCACCTTTCCCCAAACCCGATGTAATCTCTTTCACCCAGGGTAGGTTTCTCTAAGCCCTGGTCCCTAAACCACTGAACCCTAAACCCTCGACCCTCCACCTTGATTCCTAAACTCCAAGCCCTAAATCCTAAACCCTGAATCCCAAACCCTAGACCTTATACCCAAAACCCTATACCCTAAACTCCCAAAAGTTGCAACAGACGAAAGGCCAAGCCTGGAGGCCCAGGGTTACGCCAGATCCAGGACTTCATGGTGCGGAAGCCTGCCATATAATAAGGTTTTCCAAACTTGGGAGTACCTTATTGGCAGTTCCCAAAACCCTAAACCCTAAACCTTAAGCTTATAAGATTTTCGAATCTGATTTGGGTTGCCCCTATTTAGTGAAACTACCATGCTTTGGATCCCAAGGCTGGGATCAGGGAATCAGGGTCTGGGGGATTTAGGGCTTAAGGGAATTTTGGATGCAGGGATTTAGGGGTTTAAGGGATTTAGGGGGGTAGGGTCCGGAGGCTGATTCAGGAGAAGCTTCCCACACTGACAAGCTTTGCTTTAACTCACCTCCCGAAGCCCTAAACCCTAAACCCTGAACCTTAAACCCTACGTCGCACATTCCCGTTTTGCGCGTCCTAAGCTGCAAGTCCAAAGCTTCTGATACTCCGCCTCCACTTCCATAGCTGCAAGACCGAAGACCCAAAACTCTGGAAGTCCAAGACAGTTTTAGGGCCTTCAAGGCACCATAGGGTTATAGGGATACACTCCCCCAAACAAAGATGAAAGCACCTGTAGGCCCCTTTCAAAAGGACACCGGTCCTTATCGGGACCCTTTTGGGCTTCCATGTCAGTTTCGGTAGCGCTAGGAGACCTGAACCTTGGGGCCACATGTCCTGGACTTTGCCTATAGGTAAGGACTTTAGGAAACGCTAGTGCTACTCATGATAGTAATGTCAACAACTATAGCATATTACCCTCGTATAACTTGCCTTTTTCCGTGCTTAAGATATAGCATTCCTTTCAACAGCTCGACTACAAAAACCGCGCAAAGCTTCAGCTAGAATCGTGACGATGTGAAGACCATCTTGCAAAACGAGCAAAGGATTGCATTGCAGAAATTCTAGGGACCCACTCCACCCTCCCAACCTCGCAACCCTAAACCCTGAGCAATATTTAGCGGTGCCCGTTTTCCTTTACCCACTCACCTAGATGACCCCCATATACCCCTCTATAAACCTGTAAGATCCCTTAAATCTTTGACTTAATACAAACCTCTATAATCCCTATGTACCCCTATAGAACCCCTAAAATAATACGTAACCCTACACCCTAACCCCTGTATAATCCCAATAGCATTCCCGCCCAAACCCTTAAACTCTAAACCCTAAGCTCAAAACCCTATACCCTAATGCCCAAACCCTAAACCCTGAATCCCCACCTTGGGTGATGGGCTGCGGCCTCTCATCTCCCCTCATGCAGGGTTTCGGGTTACTTGCTGCTTTGCAAATGGCTTGGTTTAGGGCTAGTGTTTGGGGTTTGGGGTTCAGGATGTACGTTTTAGGGTTTAGGGTTTCGGTCTGAGGGTTTGGGGGGGTGACCGAGCAAACACCGCAAGCCTGGTAACTGCAGCTGAATTTGGTGGCAAAATCTCAACTAAGCTTGCCAGTACCCTAGGAGTGCTGCGGTGAATTTAACCACCCAAAGCCTTAAATAGGCTAAGCTAGTGCGAGATATCTCCAGGCACCTCTCCAGAAAAATATAGTCCAATCGTGCGCCACTGTTGTGCGTTGTGGCGGAAACGTGTGCAGCATTGACGTCGCGGAAGGCGTCTCGGAACCTCCCAGCGGCTTGCATGCCCCAAAAAGGCAGTTTGCATGACCGTAGTTACAGAAGGCAGTGTACGTGCAAGCTCTACAGAGTGTTGGATACGAGGACCACTTGAGAACTTGCGCAGTATCCATGATAGCAACGCTAACGACCTCCAGGTAGCAAGCTGGCTGAGATAAAAGCAAAACCACATATGCAATGGACCATGAACCTACCCAAATATTCTAGAAGCCTACCCAGCATAGTATGCTCCAAAATGGTGGGCCCCAAGGTATTTGAGGAATATGTGTTACGAGTCCTCTCGAAGGTTGCATAGGGGGAATAGGTTTGAAATTGCCTGCGCAAATGTCATCTTTTTCCGTGCGGCTGCACAGCCAGGACCTTCTGCCTCCTAGACAAGCTTCAGAACAGCAAAGATACTGTAATGGCCAAAAGAATTACCAATGGGATAGGAGAATCGACATGAATGAAAAACAACATGGAAAATTGCATGGGAACTGGGAGTATATGGTGGCGTACAAGGATCCCGGTAAGGGCCTAAATAAGTACTCTTGTAGGCACTCCATATGTTATAGCTACACGAGGAATCTAGGTCCAAAATCTTGGCAATTTTTGAGGCCCTTACGTTTGGTAAAGTCTTGTCGCGGCAGGAGTTCAAACGGACCCAAGGTGCTGCCAAGAAGCTTGAAGTCAATCCTGGGCTTGAAGCAAAGTTCAGGGTTTCAGGAATTTTGGGATGGGGTGTGAGAATGGAGGCTGGCATCCTTCTAGCCCTCCATAACGCAACCAGGTTTCATGTATGCTTCATGTCTTCCATTTGCTTCTCCATGATTCTCCATTGTTCAAAGTGCCCTTTTGAGTTCTAGTTGCCAGGCTTTGGGAGGATGAGGATACCATGCTGAGGCTGAAAGGCCGGATTTGTGGGTGTGGGGTTTTAGGGACGAGGGTTTAAGGTTTGGGTTTTAGGCTTAGGCTTTCAGGGCTAGGGATTGAGTTTATGGTGGGGAGTTTAAGGTTTAGGGGTTATATGGTCAGGACTTGAAGTGTAGGAACGGAGCGGGTGTTTGGCGAAGGCTCACATCATCCCCCGAAGAAGAGGAAGCAGCTGATGCTGAGCATTTGGAGGAAGGGTGCATTTTCATGATCATAGCTTTTTTCTCCCAAGCTGCTTGGAAAGCATCTCGAAGGTCTCCAAACCCAATCTAGGGACATACAGGCTTTAGAATTGGGGGTTCCGGATTACGATAAAGACGTAATAGGGTCTGCTTCAAGGACTACAGTAAGGGCTGCTTTCAGCAAGTCCCATATTATATTGGGCAGTCAAACACGTAAACCAGAGCCATGTGCAGAACAACGCACAAACCGCCCATACTCAAGGAGTTAAGAGTTGTACTCCTGAGGCCTAAGGTTGTATCCCTTTGTGTTGCCCCAACATACTCCCTCAAGAGTCCCCTAGAATCCCCTCTCTGTAATCACCCCAACTCTGCATTGTTGAAATTACTCAACCTGCCTGCTGACATCCGGTTCCAGTACACTTGAGAATACTATTTCCAGACCTCTAATGTTCGAAACCTCCATATAATATGCGGATCTTATCTTAAATCGGAGACTCATTTCTTTGCATCCAGGTTTCTTGTAGCTTCGACTCCCTTCCCACACTTCGGCGCCCAAGTAGAGCCTGGGTTCCCGTTGAGAGGGCTTGTAGGCTGTTGATATGACACATCCCACGTGATGCCAAGAAACGCACTCCGTGGCAAGCTTTGTATTCTAGTGTACTAAACCTATCATGTAGACCAAGCCCTAGGATTACCAACAGGATTCTGAGCATCAACAACCCTAAACCCCCAAAGAGAAATTGGACTTGGGACTCCTTACTTGAGAGATCACATGGAATTAGCACTTCACCCAGTGATAGTGGCACTATAGGAATATATTGGGACCCTAATATAATTCCCATTATCCCTTGCAGCCAACCTAAGGTCTACTGCGTCTGACCTGCAACCCTCCCAAAAGACCATGTTCACGGCACCTCAATTCTCGGGCTTGGGTTACAGGCTACAGGTATAGTGTAGGGTTACCTAATGAATTCTGAGGCAATTATAGGTGGGGGTACACCGTCGAATACATCAGTCCTTGTAAAGTATGGCCGTTCCAGTCATATCCTCACTTACAACTACGCATGAACCTCCAACCATGCCAAAGGGCATTCAGCACTCAAGTCCAATTTGACACAGATCCTCCAGGACGCTAGGCGCTGCAGAAAACAACCCGTTCCTGGCTCCATATCTGCGTAAGCCTTTGGTGGACTGCCAACTATACCCTCGGAGCCACGTCACAAGCTTCAAATTGCTGATTTCATTTTCCATATGCTTGTTCATTCCCCTAGCACCCAGCAGCGCCATCAATGCTTCGAGCAAGCGGCCGGGTGGATTTCCAATCCTCCAGGGCATTGAAATCCTGATCCACACGCCAAGCTTTTAGGCTATTTAATATTTAAGGTATAGGATTCAGCGTTTCATCAGATTTAAGGTGTTAGGGTCTAAGCGGTCTAAGGCATTGTAGGATTTAGCGTGTCAGGTTTAGGGTTTGGAGTTCGGGGGGAAGGACACCTAGACAGCCTTTAAATCAACTTTCGATCCTTACGTGATTCTACCAGGCAACTTCATAGCGCCATTGCTCAATCTGTCTCTGTTGATGCTAAAAATCCTGTATGGCCCTTGTATACTGCAGTACCATGATTCCCAAGATTTAGAGTACTGAGGGTCATGCAGCTACAGGTTTTCTAGTATCCATCGTGGTTAAAACTATTTGCACCCTGGTAGGCAGCGCAAGTTGTGGATGAACAGCTCTGAGCTAACCCGTTAGATACTTGGGGGCTCCTCCGCTGAGACGCCAAGGCCTAAACACATGGCTTTAGGGCTTTGGGTGTAGGTTTTGGGGTTTAGGTTTTACACGTTGCTGCTTTGGAAGCTAGACCTCATGGGAAGAATATGGGGCCCAGCGGCAAGTCCATCTCCATACTGTGATACCATTGAGGACTACATTGTTCATTCCTCACCTTCCCACATCTCAGGGTTTAGGGCGGTAAGAATGGTTTGGAGTGTAGGGCTCCTCTCCCTCAAATTGCTGCGTGATCAGGGGAGCCCATGTGTTTCTCGGTTTAGGGTAGGGTCTGTCTATCTGTGGGTCCCTGGGGATCTACGTAAATCTTGACTTTGATTCAGGGCGAAAATCCTTGTCGCAATAATGTGCATTCTTTGATCCAAGGTGCGCCCATGTAAACAATGGGAGTGTCGGCAAACTCGGCCACCTCAACAGCTCGACATCTGTCGGCTCAGGCCATTTCAGGGCTGCCAACTTTAACTTCAAGATCCGGAGAACAACAAATAAGGCCTAAACCCTATTTCCTAAACCCTAATCCATCACCTAATGCCTGAACCCTAAATCCTGCTCTAGGCGCCGTTTTCTTCGCGTGCTCCGCAAATTCCAGTGCATTCTCAAGATGGATGGGCTCGTTGCCGCAGCAAACCTGGGTTCGGCAAAAAATGGTTTCGAGTATAAGGTTTAAGGTGTAAGGTTTAGGGTTTACTCTTTGCACAGGAGCCTTTCAACATGGAGGTCCCTGGGCTAGGTAGGCATGTTACCAAATGCTTTGGTCATCTGTGATAGTGGCTATGCGACGCCATAGGAGATTACCTGGTTATGACTTAGGCTTTCCCCTGTTTACCTTCCAACAATTGGGGGGTTCCTTTACAGGGTATGTGGGAGTTAGGGGCGATATCAGGATTAATGAGGTTTGGATGTGAGGGCTTCCAAAGAATTAGGGGTCGCTCTCTGGGCCGTGCTAGAAAAATACAGTTTTGAGGTAGAAGGCGGGACCCCAATTTTTGGAATTCTGATCTTATAGCAGACCAGGAACCGGGTGAGCGCCGTAGACCAAGACCTCCAGAGCTCTGCAGGCACATTTCTCGGCTCAGGTTTGGGTAGCCCTAAACCCTAAACCGCGACTTCCCAGCTTCAGGTTTGCCAATTGGACCATTGAAGATGTAGCTACAATGAGATGTTACGGTTTAGGGTTTTAAGTTAAATTGAAAAGCTTCCTGTTCATGACCACTGCCAGCTGATGTGGCTGCACTGGTAGCCTTGGTTTAGCATGAGGGTCTTCTGATTCTTGACCGATTGGTTAATCTCCTTCCCTAAGCAAGAAGCCCCCCTCACACACCCCTAACAATAAACATTCACCGTTATGTGTTGGTGCTGTATCGCGGGGGCTTTATCTTTGGGAGATGGCTGTTACTACCAGGGGAAGGATTACACATCTTATGCGGCGCCCATCCTGGACACACTCTGGATAACTTAAGACTTACCTTCAGGGATTTTGGCGTAATGTAAGAATTCTATCACCTCGAGATAAGTAGGCCCATCATACCCCTGGTACAAGCATGTAGTTGCAGGTTCCTAACCCACTAGAAACCCAAGGGTCCCAGAAAGAGACCTGAAGATCTAAACCTTAAACATCCCTGGAAACTCCTTCAAGGGCCCACGAAATGAGAGAAGGAGAAAAGAGCCTTGTCACCCTGATCAAAAAACCTCCGAAGTCCACACTCCCATGTCTGAAGCCTCTTCTCCCTACCCCATAACAATCATTCCCCATAAGACCCACATACAGAGGTACACATAGGCAAATGTATGCGTACACACACATACATACATACATACATACATACATACATACATATATATATATATATATATTTTGCGCACACATATTTATCTGTACGCATATACCCACTACGGATGTATATACACATACATAGGTGTATAAATATGAGCAAATCTATTTGCACGCGGTGGGGGACGTGCAGCATGTCTTCCGTATAAACCACTACAAAATCCCAGTTTCCATTTCAGCCTCCGTCTTTTTCATTTGGTTCTCCATCATTGAGGAGCAATATAAGCCCCAAACCGTAAACCCTAAACCCTAAACTCATGTCTTCCCTTGTCTTGGCCTGTTTGCCCGAGTCGCGATGCTTCCTGGGCTCGGTAACAGTCCATGCACTTACTGTGGGTGCCTGAAAGAAAGTGGTTTATATTGAGCGTTTTAGGGGCTTTATAAAGGTTATGTGGGGGTTATAGATGCTTACAGGGTTTAGACTTCCAGGCTTAGGGTAGGTAGCAGTCCATGCCCTTCCTGGTACCTGGATTAAACAGTGCACCCAATATATTGATATCTTTACCTTGTTTGTAGGGGTCTTGATTACCCTAGCAGTGGCCCCGCGAGGCGAATGGTTATGCTAGGTGGGTATATGACGAAGCACCAGAGTTGTTATAGGATTCTACAGGATTAGGGCTAGGGATAAAGCCCAAGAATGGAGAATCGAAATACCGGCACTATCTGCACTCACTTGCCAGCTGTTGCAATCCTCCTCTGGGGATTGACGGACATTTGGTAGCTTCCATAAAGCAAAGCGGCCTCAACATAGACCCCCAGATCCTACGATCTTCCTACGGGAACCCCAAAAATTGAAATGCCATTTGACCACTACGGGACCAGCATCATGAGGAGTAGCAAGCGCTTCTTGAGGGCCTTCGAGCCCAAATATGGTGGGTTTAGGGTTTAGGGCACCAAATATGTACACCCTGCTGCCACCCATCACTAGGGCCAGTTGCTTTCAGGGGATTACAGGGTACACGCTACAGTAAAGGTTACAAGGTCCTAGATATTTCCCAGTATCATGGTTCCTGCAAAAGGATTCTGGGAAACATATGGCGTTTGCGGCATAATGGAGTCTTAAATCGAACAGAAAATGGAAAGTGAAATGGAAACTGATCTTCTACCAGGGCTTGAAGGAATAATGGTAGAGGTTCCGCTTCGGGCACCAGGCTCCAAACATCATGAGCAGGGGATGATCAAGGACGTAAGGTTGCAAATTTGCAATCCCAAACCCTGCCACCAGCCTACACTTTGGAAAGGCCTTCAGCCCTTCAAGCCTGCGAAGTTGTTTGGATATCTTCCATACGAAAAAGGGCTTTAGGGTTCAGTGTTAATTGCCTGCATGATTCAACTATCTGACAAATCTGTGGGATTTCTCGGGTGCACTTACTCCTTGGTCTTGGTGTAGAATCACAGGTTTAGGGTTCTGGCGGGGGGGTTTTGAGCAGGGAACTCACGTTTGAAATACTGCAGGGGCCTAAATGATTATTAGTACCCTTTGAAGTTCAGTTGAGATACCCTGTACCATCAAATTTAGAAGGATTCTGACACCACAGTATTATTGGCAAATACTTGGGCACCTTCATTACCCCTAAGCCTTAGTGAAACCCGAAGCCCTAAATAATGATTGTTTCCTATTTGTTGTCCATTCCTGTATACCCCTTCAAGCCCCTATATTGCCCCTGCTTCCGCCAGAGCTTCAGCACTGCCCAGGAGAGGCCGCGGTTTGCACCCCAATCCATGATGGAGTCCTTCCTTGGCTGTGGGTTCAGTGGTACTTGGGTGCCCCAAAATTAGGGGTACCTTTTCGGGGGTCCCCATAATAAGGATTGTAATATGTTGGGGTGTATGTTGGAGGTCGCCTGATTTACGAAATCTGCCAGTTCTACGTGGGATCAGGCTTAGGTCATTCCTTTTTTATAGTAAAAAATTATTCAAACACTACTTTCGGAACCTCCATAGCAAGCAGCTTCGAGTAGGTGCTGGAATTAGATTAGACCGCACCGAAGCTCTGAGGTGCACTGGCAACCCAACGCTACAAGGGGCTTTTGTCAGACCATGGGGGGTGCCCTTAGGGAGAGAGTCTCAGGCTGTATATAGGTTCAAGGATCATGGGTTTAGGGTTTGGGATATTTCTGGAGTCTGTACTAAGGACTGTGCGGGAATTCTTCATGAAAACTCCTACGGAGCTACGCTTTCGCTGCTTGACCTTGCCACTAGCCAGTAGCCTAGGAACCGTGAGCCCTACACTCGCCAAAAACTCTACAGCTCTGTGAATCCCCCGGCCTCATGAGACTGGGTTGCAGTTGCGGAACTGAAATCAAGTGACAATGACTCGGATATATGGTGAATCATCGGGCTTCCGTAACTTCCGCATGCCAGCAAGACAATTTACATTCCTCACTGAAATTCGGAGTGCCTACTGAGCCCTAACAAGCCCTGATAATCCAAAAAAATCCCCGATGATCCCACCTGACATCCGCAGTTTAGCATCACCACTTCAAACAGGTCGGCTCGGTAGAGGATGTCTCCGTCCCACCACTTCTCCTCTGTGCTTGCGAGTCTCACCTAAGTTACTTAAGGGTTCCAGAATTTCGGTGACCCTTTGGAAGGGATGTAGGGGTTCTATGGGCTTGAGGCTTTAGAGGGCTCGTTTGGCAGGATCCGATTTCACCTCTCTCTCTCTCTCCCTTGTGCTTAGGATTGAGACCCTGAACCCCAAAACCATGAAGCCCTACACCCTACATCCCTGAACTCTAAACCCACAACCCTAAAACGTTGGGGAACTATGGCCAATGTCCTAGTTTAGGGGAAACATAGCCCGCTTTTCGCTCCCATGACCGTCCAAGTAACTCTACACCCTAAACCTTATAACATAAACCCAAACCATAGAACTAATTACCCATGATCCTTTACATACCTGTCCCCCTTTTCGATCCTGCTCGCCACCTTTGCAGAACTCATAGTACTTGCCAGTTTTCTGCTTGATCTTCCTTGGCTGCAACACATTTGCTGTCAAGTGCTGCGGGAAATCTCCAAAAAATCGCTGATGCACCAAATGGAGAGGTAAGTGAGTAATATTGCTTGCCTCATCTATGATGCCAGCTAATGAGACTATAGGATTTTGAGTTTTAACCTGGGCTTCTCCCTACTTGCGCTCCCGATGAACCCCACATCATCCCGCTTTACATGTCACTATGTCTCCATTATTGAGGCAACCTTTAATTTCTGGAACACCCCAAACCACGTACAGCCCTATGATTATATGGTGGACGGCCTTCTGTGCGTCCTTGACCTGCATTCTCGGGCTTTTCCCTACAGATTATGGCTGGCGACAATTCGCGCAGGAGGGGTGGACATGTGATAGGGCATTCGCAGATGAGAGCTCTACCTAGACCTCCCAAATACCCCCACAGGGTCTCTGTACCCAAAAGAGCCATAGTATAAACTCCCAGTATCCCCTCTAACCCCTATAGTAATCCCCTAAGTAATGTGCTTATTGCCCTTTGTACCCAATGTATAAAGTAAGAGGCCATCATTCTTGGCATTGGGGGATATAGATTGACACGACCTTGCAACCCTAAACCCTACTTGGAAGGTCACGGGGACTTAGTAAGTGTACCTATAAACCCTATGTAGTAACCCCAGTTTGGTCCCCACCATGAACGTACTTAATTCCTAAGTTCCCCCTGACCCTTACCCCTCAATACTATAGTATTGCACATAGCGGCTTTGAGCCTTTATTCACGTTTGTAATTTCAAACCTGCGCGGAGCTTTCCTTGGATGCCCAGAAACAGAACTGGACTTCAGACCCTAAACCCTGAAAAATGGAGTACCCTAAACCCTTACCAAGTCCCCCTAACCCTCCAAGTCCCCTGCCCTGAACCAGGCCAGGGGAAGGGAATACCCCGTAATTGATTTACTCTGAGGGTTTAGGAGTTCAGGGCTTAAGGGCTTAGGGTCTAGGATGTAAAGACCCTAAACCCAAACCGTCACTCAGTATTCACAAGCTACTGTCAGCATTGGTCTATAGGGTGTTTGGGGAGCTGCAAGATTTCTACGTTTGGGGGGCCTTCACGTGTAAACCCTAAACCCTAGACCCCTCTTTTGTTGTTCAGCAGGCTGAGCCCAGGACCTCGCATCCTGCCAGCAGAGCTCGTTGTTTGATACCCAGTTCCCCAGAAGCCCGGAGCTAAGACTCTGCCCCCATGCGCCAACAACCCCCTAAAGTGGTGAGGGTGGGTATACTTGGGCTCAATACAAGGCCAGATTTAAGCACGGTTGTTGCATGAGAGATAATCCTGACTAGTACTCTGCAACTCAAATACCTACAGCACACGACTGTACGGGTTTGGGCTTAGGGTTTAAGAGTTCCTCCATCAAGACTAGCACTTTCGTAGCCCAGGGAGCCAATATACCTTAATTAAGGCCTATGGTTTCAATCATTTACAGGATCTTAATACAATTTAGGGTATGCTCCGTAATTAGGGGGCATTGAGCTCTGTGGGAAAGTCTCAGAAAGACAATTTGACGAGCAGCTCAAGGATTGTCGGCTTTTCCTTCCACTGCTCCTTAGTCGACGTGAATCTTGGTAAGGTGCGGTCCAGAGTTGAGGAACATGGCCCATCGCCTAGGTGCAACCATATATATATATATATGTATGTGTAGGAGGGACTACATGAGCATGATATTTTGATATGAGGCACTATTCAAGATGACCATTCCTGATGTATACCTGGATCAGGCATACACCAGCATGCAAAATGCCATTCAACAACAATCAAGTTGATCCTATGCGAGCAGGATGGCTTGGAGACTGCAAGTGTAGGGGCAATCAAGAACACAAGCAAACAAATGGAGATATCCCGGTGGCGCCATACAACCAACTCCCGAGGAAGTAGAGACAGACCTGCAATATTCGTTTTTGCTCCTCAAAAGTCTAGAGGTGATGGGCCTGAACCCTAAACCCCAAAACTCCCGGAAGTGTGCGGATCTAGGGTTTGGGCGAGGGCAGCTTTGAATCTTCAGACGAGCCATAGTCTAAACTCCTTAGAGGGGGTTATTTGAGGGATTATACAGGGGACTACTATAGGAAATGTTAAAAGGGATACCAGGGGGCTTAGACTATAGCTCAGATTCCTGTTTTGTAGGACGGTGCGTTTTTTTATCCGTACTTCTGCCTGAAGGTGCTTTTGAAATTTTGTTCTTGGACATCAGGCACGGAATGAAAACCTCCCCTAATCCTAATGTTAGAAGTATGGGCCCTAATATGCGCACTTAAGCCTTTTCAGGGGATGCTTGGGGCCTGTTTGGGGCCTTTTAGGGCACATCTGGAGTATATAGTAGGTATAAAAGGATACAGGGCCTAGGGTTTGCTGAGCGGTTGGGGAAGCCAAGGTCTTGTTCGTAAACCCCCTCCTGGGTTGGCAGGTTAGAGGAAAATGAGATGGAGAACCAACGGGACATGATTGGGTTGCTGTTATAAGGGCCTTACGTTAAGTTACCACATTATGGGTACATTGCTATTATGGTTTCCTCAGTGTTCCCTAACAGCAACCCAGATGCAATTGAGCTGGGGATTGCTTCGCCCTAAACATACCCCTACATAAGTCTAAGCTCGACGATGCAACTCCTACAGCACCCCTGTTGGGATAATATCCCTGGACGCTAAACACAACAGTGGCTTCCATCTGCTTTTCCATTGCCCTGTATGACCCAAGTTAGGGCTTACGGTTCCTGCAAAACGCCCTACACCCTAAACTCCATATAACCCCTTCTTGAAATTAATCTATAATAACCCGGGGGCTCGGTCTGCAAATATTTCGGATGTCTCTAGGCTTTCAAGGGAAAGGTGGCTATTGATACCTTGTTGGTTTCGGGTTTCGGGTTACGAAGGGCCCTAAACTCTAAACCGCTTGGTGCAAGGGAACGCAGCAAGTCGGCGCTGAAATGTTGATTCCCTGCCTAAGTTCCTTTCAGACATTCGAGGACTGCACCGTGACGCTGTTGTTATTGGTGGTTTTTAGCAAATATGGGAATGTAACCGTTATTCCCTACAAACCCCAGTAAGCCTCAAAGTACACCCGAGCTTGGACGCTATCAACATGCCTCAGAAGAGCGGGTCCCGTCTAATCATGACAGTAGCTCACGTAGTCACTATACACTATACACCACTATTGGATCCCAGCTTCTATTTCATTTTCCATGTTCTTCTCCATTTGACAACTCATTCTTTGGGGTAACAGCAAAACGCTACACCCTTCACAGTAATTTCCCTACAAAATATCCCTCTATAACCCCTCTAAACGCTAAGCCATAAATTCTGCAAGGGCGGTAAAGCACAAGAAGACTACCAGGAAAGGGCTGCGCTGAAGGCTTTCAACAAAGAGGCTGCATCTGCAACTTAAGGATCTGGACTGCGTTTAGGGTTCGGGAGAGTCTAGGGATTGGGGTTTAGGGTTCAAGATTTCTAGGGTCTATGGCTCAGGGCTTATGGTTTAGAATTTGCAGTGCTTGGGGTTTAGAATCTGGACAGGATGTAATTAAGGTTTAGGGCTCAGGATTTGCACAGCCAGGTGGCCGTGATGACCGCAATGTCGGGCGTCATGTCAGCAATGGCCTGACTAGGGGTTATCGTGGCAAAGCCATGGCCTCAACCCCAACCCTGAAATTCGAACTTCTGACAGCTCCGCAAATCAAGCCTTTCAAAAGGCACACTTCAACTGGCTTCAAGTTGACAACGTGTTGTTATGCTACTGTGGATTTTGTGATTTGGCTTATGTTTATGAGGTGTTTCAGCCCCTTTGGACACAGGAATGAAGCAAGTTGTGCCTACAGCCTCCTTGGTAGCATTCGAGCCAGACGTAATGTAGAAGCCAAATCAAGTGGACAAGAAGAAGAACAATGAAATCAAAACTGGGTTCCCATGTGGTATCTAGCTATTCAGGCCACTACAGTACCGAGAAGTCCATGTAGATCTTTGATAGACTTTCGGTACTGAATAACTAGCACAGTTGTGGAGAATGCGCCTTCTATTGTAGCTAGTCCCAAGGGACCTGGGGGTATCACATTAGCACCAAGTAAGTTTGGTGCAGAATCCCTTCAAGTTGAAGTTTCCACTGAGCTGTTGGCCTGAGCCATACCCCCCAAAGCACCTGGGCGATGCCATCCATGCGATCCTCGCGTCCCAAAGCAGCGTAGTACACGTTGAAGGCCATGAGGCCTCACGACAACTTCAGCATCCTTCAGGGTTTTTCTCAACTTAAGTGGCTTAAGGTTAAGAGTTTAGGATTAGGGTCGGGTGAAGCACTGCAAGTCTTGTCTCAAGTGATCGCTGCTAGCCTCCAAGCTTCAGAACTTATACTTGACTAGACCCTCCGCCTACCATCTATCAGGGCCCAAGTATCCAATATCAGGGGCCATATGTCCCCAATTACAAGTATTAGGGGGTTTTGGTGTGTGTGTGTGTGAACCGTCCTAGCACATGGGCGCAGGGGGTCACACCCACATGAGGATTTAGGGTTTAGGCATTAAGAAAAGCAGGGGGCAGGAGCTCTTCCTGGGCGTCTCCTGCCAATGAAGACGCCCCCAGGGAGGGGTGAAAACGTACCTGCTTATAATCTATTAGGCCCCACCAGCAGCCCTGGACCCGTCGCGGTAGCTGGGTGCTGGTGAGGGGAACC